AAAAAAAAAAAAAAACGAATATATAAAAAAATTAAATTTTTCAGAATCAGTTGTTCAACTGTCAAGTAAGAAAACAATTTTTTTTTCTATAATTTTAAATCTTTTATTCACTTATTGGTAAGTTTCCTTGCTTTTGTAGAATTACAAATCAATTCATTAAATTTTGAAAATGAATGAAAACATCGTATCAAGTTCGCAAAGTTTCTACAAATCTGTGTATCAGAAGCGAAGGCAAAGGAAATATAAATTGAGTCAATAGCCAATTTTGACAATTTGACAACCTCGCAAAAATTGACGTCTTGCCATGAATTATTATCACAGTGTGCTGAGTTATCCACAAATGAAAATGAATTTCATATCACTGATACACAGTTAATCGACTGTTGCAATATAGTGGAAGTTACGATGAAAGAAGTAAAAGACGCACCAAAAAGAGTTCGTGGTGACAATAACAGCAATAACAAGAATAACAATAAAACAATAGTAGATATAATATTTGAGGACTTTTCTACAACGACTTTTAACAGTACTATAGCATCATCTGAGAGTAAATTAAGAAATTTGGGACGGAGCGCTTTATTTATATTACTGGAGAAACCGAAACGTTGCTATAGCCGTAAATTTAAAGAAAAGGCGAAATCAAATTTGGAGGAAGAATTCAAGGCTGCTATTGAGGACAATAGGAGCACATGTTCATCTTCCTTGTTACAATGCAAAAAAACGATGAGCATCTTATCAATGTTTGTAATCAATTCGAAGACACTGTAATTGACGAACAGATAAAGAAGACCGTGAAATTCTGAGTTGATTTAGCCATGTTTGTCCGTCTGGTTGGATGTGTGGTGTGCGTTGTTGCCAATCTCCTGGTCGCAAACCTTGCTTTAAGTTTAGAGTGATGAGATAAAGTGACTACGTCATGAGACCCAAAAAATTTAGTCAGTTCGGAAAAAATATCTGATATAAAGGGTCACATCAAATTGTTAAGTAAAAAAAGTAACCTTAAAAAACCTCGAAATAGGTTTTTATCTTTTAAAGGAACTTTAAAGTCTAACTTCCCTCATTAAAATTTCTAGCTTGATATTAGTGGCCCTAATGAAATGAATGTTATGAACACCGGAAATGTATAAATTAAGTGGCATAGCAAGAGGCTTGTGATCGATAAGTATGTTGATTTCCGCCCTTCTACTAAACACATCAAAGGCCGGCACAAAGGTCGGCATAGCGAATTCAATGGAAAACATATGAAATTGTTTAGAAATCAAAGGTCGCCACAAAGGTCGACATAGCGAATTCAAAAGAAAACATATGAAATTGTTTACGCTATATTTTTTTCTGCACCTTCGAAATGAATTGTAATGAAATAGAAAATTAAAGGATAAAGCTGCTTTAAGATGTTTTGCGAAAATTAAAAAGTTGGCTTTTATTTATATAATACAAAATAACAGTTAATTTGCAATTGGTTTTAAAACATTACAGATTCTTTATAGGCAAATTCATATGTTAATAAAAATAAAGTGAGTTGCACATTCAAAGTTCATATCCGCTGTTCAAAGTTTTCCTAACAAATGAAAATCTGGAATTACATGATTTATATGAAATTATTCGACTTCATTTCATTTTCCCAAAAATTTTACATGCTTTTTTTTATTTATGCTTGTACAATTTTATTATTGACTGTATGATTGTAAACAAACAAACATCAAATTTGCCAATTATTTACAATTATTTTTTCGAAATATATTTCGAATGACGAAAGAATAACTCTCTCTTGTATATATAAATGTATAAAAAACAAGCTTTTATCTCCCCTTGTACGTCTCCTGAATAGTTTTATACAATTTTTATAGACCTCGCGTTCGATTTTGCCCTATTTTGAAAAATTTTCTGTTAATTCTTACCATATATTCGTACAAGTGCTTGAAGTGCTTGAAATATTATATTTCAACTATTCAGGAGACGATTTTTTACTTCTTATTTGACGATCTTATTTTATCCGCGGTCAGAATTGAAACGACCGATTGCATGAAAGAGAGAAAGAAATGCACGTCTGCAAAATTTTTGTTAATTTGCAGAAACCGTTATCAGCTTTCATTGTATATGTGAAAACACATAGTTATTAAAAAAAAATAGCAGAATTGAAAAGCATTGCAATCCTAGATACTTCTTTTGACAGTGGTATGTCGTTCTCGCGCACATCGTTAGGTATATGCTTCTTGCTTGATCTCACTGTTGAAATTAATATTATATCGCGTTCCTAAAAAAAACCAAGCGAAAGCAACGCTAGTGTTAATTCCAACATTAGTGTAATTTTACGAAGCTTATACCTGTCCTTGGAATTTCACCATAGAACCAATTTTAGGCATTGCAACGTCGACATTAACAACGTTACGTTTCATGTAACTTGTTCCCTTAATTGCAAGGGGGCTTCTCCTTAACCTGTAAAATTTTCAATAAAATATTTTAATGATTTACATAAAATTTCTTTATAATAGGTGATAATTGAAAGGGATGCATAGTCGTCGCTTAAAATTGCTATTAAAAAAAAAAAAATAGTGACCATAAAATAATGAAATTGTTCTGTTTATTTGATCTTGACCTGTCACCACGACTTCGTGCTCTGCGCAGTTATCAAAATAACCGTATATGCGTAAAAAAAATTTTTTTTTGAAGCGAAGTGTGATCAAATATAAGGTACACATAAATGTTTTCTTTTTATATCTACTCTTGCCGTTCCATTTGCAAAAACCATAAATGCCCATCGAAGACTGTGCAAAGTCCATATACGTATTACAGAATACAATTTTGATCAGCATGATGCTCTAATTCTTGCGGTCAAGTAGGTCCGACTGTCAATATTTTCCACAAACAAGCTTAAGTAACTCAGGACGTTACGATTGCATAAGGTTAATATATCCCACCCCATATTAAAATCAAAAATTTGCATGATTAAAAAGTTAAAGTTAAGTTTAGTTAAAAGTTTGATCTATTATTATTTATACATTGACTGGTGAGTGCGTTCTTCATAATTTTACAATTTCATTCATGTGTTAGCTATGGTTTCTTTCATTTAGCCGTCACATATTTTTTGAATATTTTGGATAATTATTGTATTTAATTTTCAAAATCATACTTCATCTTATATAAAAAAAAATAATGTACTTACAAAAATTTCATCCCAAAAGCATAAAGCGTTTGTTTGCTAACAAGTAATACATCATTTCATTTTTGGTTCTATTTCATTAATGGTCTATAACATGTGCAGAAAAACAAGAAATACGTTTTTGCATAAAATGTAAGACCTGTCTTTGTAATGGCAAAATGCAAAAGAAAATAATAATAATGAATAATAATTATTTACCAATTTAACTTAGTCCATAGTTGTATATAAATCCATTGAAAGATCTTCAATATAAAATTCCTCATCAACATGCCCTTGGTCAGTCTGTCTCTCTTTATATCGTCTGTGGCAAGCATTCTTCTAGTGAATTTCTTTACTGGGTAATCCGGTAATATTCCCAGCTCATCATGTATTAAACATGATTGCAATAAAAATAAAAGAAAAAAAGAAAAATCTTTATAGCTGGTGATCACTTCATCTAACTGTTAGTTTATTTTATATTATTTCGATTTTGACCGTTAGCTTCCAATTCTTTTTGCATACATTTCTAGAACAATAGATTGTAGACATTTCTAGATAATCCGTCACATAAGTCACAAAAAATTAGCGGCATATAACAACAAATACCTATGCCGCCATGTACATATAGTTGTATTTACTTGTTGTTGTTATATTAGCCATTGGTTTTGATTGCTTTTGCACACATTTGCAATCGTTATTGGCTTTATATATCAATTGTATCTACAAGTGAATACAAGCATACTTGTACATACTTGTTCATTTTTATTGTTAGATTAGCCATTTCTTTTTTAAATTATGCGGAGAGCTTTTCTGCTCGTGGTTGCAAATGCAATAGTTACAGATTTTTTATTTTTGTGGAAATTACATCTTTTATAATGAAATCTAACTATCGCTCGGCAATCCAATGTCACTATAGAATTCTTAGCAATAAAAGAAATGAAAATTAAAAATTTTTAAAAGTATTTATCATTTAAAGTTTTTATTCTTTTATTCTTTTTTACACCTTTTATTTAATATAATGAAAATCATAATAATAATAAAGGATAGGGGCGTGTCTATTCTGCAATCCTTAGTAGCATAGATGATCAGCTTGAGTAAATCGGCATTGATTGTGCTCAACGTGTGATTTCCAAAAATACTTTCCTTCTTGTTCTTTACTTCTTTCGCTTGCTTGACGAAAACTCGTGATATATTACAAAGAAAAAAAAAAAAAAAAAAAACAGCTAACGGCAGCCTATTTCCAACGTTTAGCTTCGAGAAAATTCTTAAACCAATTTTTTTTTTATATATGATGGTAATATTGAAAATCATTATCTGATCAGTTTTTTGCTTAAGTGTTTTCTGTTTGCTTTTCTCGCAATAATGGGAAAAGCTATTTAACTGAACGAACAATGAAATCAACAGCATATATATTGAACTTTTTGCATCATCTACACAGAGAGTATACCCTAATCAGTTCGATATTACATTTCGTATAAATATAAATAGAAATTGAACGAATGAAATGAATGAAACAAGTGCAAGATTTTTTAGATTACTTGCATATACGATTCATGTTTTTTTTACTTATTACATATAAACAAATTCAACTAGCATGCTTGCTCTCTTTATATTTTACTATTGTTTTTTATACAAATTTAACTGTCACGCTTTCTCTCCTTATATTTTACTAGTGTTTTTCATACAAATTCAACTGGCATGCACATTTCGCTTGTTTTTTTTTTTTACTTTAAAATTCGTTCGATTTGAAACTATTAATTAAACAGCTTCTAGTTTATCATGATTCTATTGCAGTTACGTTCAGCTTAAAGTTCACGCTTCCATTTCAGCATTTTCTTACACGTCCATCTTTTCTGAGTTCTTATCATACATTTAATAGAGTTCGTTCTGTTTTCGATTCCTTAATATATCTTTGTTAACGCGCCACTAGTTTCTTATAAATATTCTTGTAATTTTACTTTTAAATATTAATCTCATAAGTTTCATTTTTGATATGTTACAATATAAAATTTGTTTTATTGTTTTGTTTTTTCCATTTTTTTTTTTTTTTTTTTTTTGTTATATGAATTTTGGTTTAATATTGAAAATTGTATTCATCAATAAAAGAAAATCTTCTTTACCCTGGAGACTTTACAGCATTATATTCGTTTTTGAAAGTTACTTTGATTCTAAAAGGAGTCGAATTTAAACTTTTACATTTCACTATACTGGTTAGAAAGCTATTATTTTAAAGTACGATTTCAAATAAAAGGATGTCATGGATGTCAAAATAAACTCGATTTTTATGAACAAAGAACAGCGTTTATAGAGCTTGTCGTAATGCCGTAACTAGTCCTGTTAAGTAGTGGTTAGTATAAAGTTATGCTTGGATTTGGAAATTTACTACTCCGTCCAAATTAGGAGATGTAAGATAATTTTTGTCGAAAATTCATGAATTTTTCCATAACGGTTCTCAAGGTACGCCGTTCAAATTAGAGCTAGTCAACTAAAAGACACACAATTTTTTTATGTTTAATTTAAAATTTTGTAAAATGAATTAATTATTTTTGATGTAAACAAAAATTTAATTTTGTTTTATACTACGCAAGTAAATAAAGTAATTAAAATTTATTTTTAAAAAGTATATCGAAACTCTCGTTAAGGAACGCGTTTAACGCGAAAATGTTCAAATTTTATAAGAAATTGTTCGTAAAAGTCACCATACGCTTGAGGCTCCACCTCAAATCTCAGCAAGCGCTTCCCGTTAGGTTCAAGATCAGAGATGTACCTCAGCTAACATTACGTATGAAATCTCCCATGCGACGGGTTATCACTCGAATCGACACATTCTACGATAACCATATACGTGTCGTTATTTCGGCTGATGTACCGCTAGATAAACTATTTATGGCCACTTACACAACATTTTGTCTACTTCTCTTTCTCGGGAGCATCGTCGTCCGATTTAGGCAAAAATGCTGTATCTTCTTGCATCCCTGCATTTTTGGCCTCATCGACATTTAATACGGTATTTGGTTTCTCCTGAGACAGAATGGGACAAATGCGCACAGCTATTTGCACAGGTATTTCCATAGTGAAGAGACCTAATTCTAATTTATTGATTAAAGAGGAACAAAAATATTGCCATTTTCAAGAATAGCAAAAAAATTTATTTTTTAAATAGATTTTATCGCAAGCGTTTTCACCAAAGAAAAATTATAAGAATTTCTCAATTTTCTACGGTTTCCAAGTAGTTATGTTGCTGCTGAAATGAGTACCCTGTTATCGCAAGAGATGTAA